AAAATCAAATCACATAATGATGAAATCAAATAATATAATGATGATATCAAATAATATAATGATAAAATCGAATAATATAATGATGACACCATATAATATAATGACAAAATCAAATCACATAATGATGAAATCAAATAATATAATGATGATATAAAATAATATAATGATAAAATCGAATAATATAATGATAAAATCAAATCATATATTGATGCAATCATATAATATAATGAAAATATCAATTCATATAGTATTTTTATGCCATATGTGACAGCTATGGCGTTCCATACTTAAGTAAGGGTGAATGGTTTTTAACCAGATTTAGTATGGAATATCAATGTGCTTGAGGAAAACCAATCATTTATAAATTCGTGCGTAACTCTTTTTTGGGAGTAGAGGCGGGGTCAATACGGAAAATTTGACAAAAAAACAATTTCACTTTGGTGCGAATTATGATCATTTTTAAACACTTTGGTGCGAATTAGGATCTTGTCATGACTAGTTGCTTTTTCCGGCCGATTTGAAAACCAAGATATCTATCCTGGCCTATGAGACATTTTCGGCTTAAATGTTCCTCTCGCGGTCCCGACCAAGTGTTGAAATCTGTTGGACCAATGCACCATTAAAATTACCGCCTGTTCTCTAATTGGCTGAGGTGTCTATCAATTTCTTCTCAACTTCGACTGGACAACGGTAACACACTTTATCTGAGTAACGTCACTATGGTGGCCATGCGAACGATACCAGACTGTTAAAATGTACAATTTTTGTTTTTGTCAGCGTTCTTTTCCGGAGGGGTGGATTGGTCTACGTGGGGTTCGTGCTCTGTTACATGTGGAATTGGTACACGCTCCCGGTCTCGGCCTTGTCTGTCGAGGTCTCAGTGTAGACCTGGTGTATCAGAAACAGAACCAGGAAAGTGCACGAGGCCTGCATGTCCAGGTAAAGGCGAATATTAGAACATTTTGATATTTTACTATATTGTTTGTATATACTGTGTTATGGCTACACTTTACGTCACTAACATAACTACTCACAAACAGGATAAAGATCTGGAACACTGGACGTGGGGTCAGAGGTGTTCCAGGACTCTGTTCTCGTTTGGTCCTTTTCTACATTATTGATATTTGTGAAGGGTTCACTACTTAGACCACTTGTAGATGATAAGATGGTGTACCTGACAAAGCAGCATAGGAGTATGCCAAATTATGTTGGAGAAGATCAGGACAAATTCGCTGAAAGGTGTAGTGCTATGATATGGGACTGAATCAATAAATCATTTCAAATATCAAATGTTTTGAAATCAAGTCTACATCAAAGAGTAGATGGTGTCTGCAAGATTAGAGAACCATGCATTCCGCTTGTTAATTTAAAAAGTCAAATGGTACACGTTTCCTCAAATCTTCAGTATCATAGCATGAATGGTTGGATCTTTCTGCAATTATATACTGTACATCAATTATATACTGTACATCAATTATCAATTATATACTGTACATCAATTATATACTGTACATCATTGAATTTTTCGAGAGATATTAATGTTTGCAGTATTTTAATTGGGCATATTCACGAAATTAAACCTACCTATATTGATTTCATAATTATTATTTAAAATATTGAAATAAAATCCATTCAATTATGTTTTCAATTTTTCGCGAATACGACCCTAAGTATGCTCTTCCATACAAATAATTGTCATCAACAGAAAACTCTTGGTTAGAGCAAAAAATAAGGTCATAAGGAAACAGAGACTCACTATTTAGGAGTCACTCTGTCAATCGCTATTAAATAGAAGTTTTACGACCAACAAAATATAACAGACAGTGAAGGATTTTAGGACAGATAGCATCTTAATCATCTTGGAGTGTGGTAGCAGACAGGGTTAGACACTAATTGTTTTTGCTTGGTAGTCCACAGGACTTGTTACTAGTCCATTGTCAATGTAACTAGTCCAAGATGTCCTGATAAGGAAACATCGCGAACTACAGCACGAAACATCAAAAGTAATAGACTGTAGGGGACTTCAAATAATTACTGCCATAAAATATGGTGAAGTTTTAGTAAGTTGTTTTCAATTATCATGCACTTTATCCTATCTTAAGCTGTTTTTTAAATTTTAAAAAGGAATATTCTAATTTTATAATCATTTTTTTCACAAGTCCAAAGGCCCAGTTAGGTTAGGTGATTCACTAGTCCTTACTGAAATCTGCTAGTCCATGACTAGCGTACTTGTGTTAGTGTTCACCACTGGTAGATATGGACAAACTCGAGATAGCTTAGCAACGTGTAGCCATATATGCCGGCATCAAAACAACTACAGCGTCAGGGACTTTCAACAAAGACCTGGATGGAAGCCTTTCCGAAATCATAGAAAATATTTGCAGTCATAGATATCTGATGGGCAGTGACTAAAATGCATACAGTCTGTAAAATCGGATATCCCCTACTAAAAGAGCGTGCCAGAATAGCCAACGAAAAAGCAGGCAGTTATTCGTCTGTCATTAAATCATCAGTAAAACTCATTTAACCTCTCCTCCTTCAACATCATGGAAGCTGAAACACTTGCTTGCTTCAATACAATGTTGTATCAGACGGAAGTCTCCTACACCACTCCTAAACGATGTGTTTTGGTGAATTTGAGTGCTTTTTACCAAGTAGTTAGCGCGTAACTTACCAGTTTCTTAAACCTGTTAAAGCAGGCTTATATATGGCAAACGTAGACGCAGAACAGAAAGAATGGAGATACATACGAAGGTATAAGATAGCCGTTAGGGAACAGTTATAGTTTCATCCATCATTGCACAACAGCAACTCTAGGTGTAATTTGTGTAAGGCAGGTACGTTAGATGCGAAGGTCGACATACATTAAACTTAACAGTTATATGACATGCACAAGCGAATACTAACTGTATAATATTTAATACTCGGTTCCTTTTTGTTTATTCATCGGAGAGCTTTTTTGCAGTTAAATCAACGTGGAATAACTGGTTGTCATGGGAATCGTGTTCCGTGACGTGTGGGCGAGGCGTGAGACAACGCCGCCGGGAGTGTGCTGACGTGAGCCCGGGTATAGAGGGGCGTTGCCTCGGGCCAGGGATGGACACGGACATGTGTGACACATTCATCACGTGTCAAGGTAGTATTGGGTATCTTAGCAACAACATAGATATTTAAAAAACGAATCAATTGTATCATTTTTTTTTAATTGGAATAGAAATTTTGAATTGAGGTACTTGAAAATTTCGATAGCAAATCGGAATGATTGGTAACGATTGTTAATGCGTTGGGTCACTTTAGAACTTTATATGATATAAACTTTCATACAAACTCCAAATACAACTGCTCATCTGAATATACATCTACCATATTAAAATAATTACTACATCAGATATTTGTTAATAACATCCGTTTACTTATAGAATGCGAGAAGTGTATCCCAGGTCCGGCTGGCCGGAAGTATGTAGGATGTCCACACGACTGTGCTAGGTATGTCCATTGTCCGGCTTCAGGTTATGACACGCTAGAGAAGATGTGTCCACACGGCCTGCTGTGGAGCAATGGTCAGCAAAAGTGTGTCCAGCCGACCGACTCGGAATGTGGTAATGACTTCAGTGATAGGTGGATGTTAAAATGTCTTCATGAGTTGAATACTGTGTTAGAAAACTATTTTACGTAGATCAATATGTTCATGCTACTGAAGTAATACCCTTGACATGATTGTAGGATAAAAGTAATAAGAAATACGAAATAATGAAGCATCTATTAAAAATCAGGCAAGTTGATGCCGAAAGCCATCGTCCATTCAAGGATCATCATGGTACACAAGTTCAAAACATCCACCTTTGGATGTTTTGTTATATTCATGCTAACTTCATATTAATGCTATTTGCTCTGTTTTAGATTTTTGCTCTGGGAAGCTGACTGGCAATGAAGTTTGGTATTCGTGTAATTATCACTGCTGAATAAACTTCATATTGATGTTGCTTGCTCTGTTTCAGATGTGTGTTCTGAGAAGCTGTCTGGCAGTGAAGTTTGGTATTCGTGTAAGGAATTCTGGAAATGTGGGGGCGACCACGGCAAACTCCAACTCCAGTGTTGTCCCGACGGTTTCCTGTTTATCGCTGGTCTAGGGTGCATGAAAGATGTCGACAACTCGTGCAAGAAGCAATGCTATGCACAGCCGTCTTTGGATGACCAAACGAAAAGTATAAACTAATGAAATATACCGGGCGAACAAGTATAAACTAATGAAATATACCGGGCTTACAAGTATAAACTAATGAAATATACCGGGCGAACAATTTCATCGCGTTAACACCAATGGTAATGGATGGGTGGTGCAGTGGATAGCGCACTCGCCTTTCACCAAGGTGGCCGGGGTTCGATTCCCCGATCGGACGTGAAAAGGTATGGGGTCACCTGCCAGACACGTGGGTTTTCTCTTGGTACTCCGGTTTCCTCCCACATCACGACCCTCCGCCCGCTAACATCTGGGCCGACAAGAGTGAAATAATAACTTGAAATAACTTGTTTTATAATTGGTGAAAATAATATTTAATTAACAGCAGTGATTTACGTGTGTACATAGAGTAATTCGTGTTAATTTTTTATGCGAAAAGAATAATTATATCTATACTATTACATCGATACCATGGTAGTCAATTGTTCATGTTATCATTTATAAATGGAACAGCTTGTGAACTGTTTGTCATAACGTTTGTAATTTTAAGAAATGTAACCTGTTCATTTCAACATTTATATAAGTAACAAGTTCTGGTATTTTCATTTAGATTTATAAATATGTAACAAGATTAAAATAGTTTATTGAAAGGTTTATATAATAAGTTTGGATTGATCGTTTTAACATTTATACCAGTAATAAGTTTGGATTGATCGTTTTAACATTTATACCAGTAATAAGTTTGGATTGATCGTTTTAACATTTATACCAGTAATAAGTTGGAAGCTGTTTGTTGTAACGTTTCTATATGTGATAAGCTGTCAACTATTCATCTCAACAACTCTCCACCCTGTAAGATGCATGTATTTGAATAACGTCACTCTGTAACTGCCATTGTAGACTGTACCTATCGCCCTTCTGCTCTGGGAGCCTACTGGTTCGAAGACCTAACATCAGACTTACGAAAGACTCGAGCATGCCCTGTTGGTACCCAGTTTTCACCGCAAGTGTGTCAGTGTGTCATGGCGTATGACCTTCCACCCGCCGTATCTTTCAACAGAGGTTTGTGATGTTCAGACGTTGATGGTGTGAATGCGCATTCATCAATGATAAGAGGGAAACCCTTATAACATCTTACTCAAGTTTTCCATGCTTGTATGACCGGTCACCCGGTATCTCGTTTGTGAAAGACACACGAACGCTAAAAAAGGAGTAGTCAACGATATTTTATATTTTTACCTGACCATACACTTTTTGTGTCGCCTGCAACGCGAGGCGACATATATGTGTAACTTTGTCGGCGGCGTCCGCGTGTATTGCGTCGTCCGAGAAAAGGGTTTCCGTGCTTTAACTTGGGTTCGCTTGGGTTGATTAAACTCAAACTTGGTACACATATTGCAATAATTGCATACCAATATAGCTCAGAGAAGTTTGCATTTCAGAAGTTTTAGTGCATTTTTGTTGGAGTTATGCCCCTTTTATTGCCAAATAAGGGCATTGTGTAGTAAATGCAAGAACTTTTTTTTATGTTTTAATCAATTCCTTTCGAATTTTGTACGGTAATGCTTGAAGCAATAATGTTCAACATATACTACGGCTTTTTCTGTCGAGTTTCAACTTTCCGCGTTTTGGCATATCACACTTGACATAGCAACGCTGTTCATCGTTTTTGTCGTAAATGTTTGCTTGTTTACGCGATAATTCAAACAATTGTTCTTCAATGTTTGTCAAACTTGATGGGATGTTTCATTACCTGAATGCATTGGATGAGTTCTTAAATCGTGATATTTAGATGCTATTCGACAGAGTTTTGTCCCTTTTCCATTGCGGGGCTATGCACCTTTCATTGCCAAATAAGGAAATTGTGTACGGTTATGCTAGAAGCAATAATGTTTAACATTGAATACGGATGATTTTGTTGATTTTCAATTTTCTGCGTTTTGGCATATCACACTTGACATAGCAACACTGAACTTCATTTTTGCTGTTGCGTCGGTTGCGTCCTCCGAGACAAGGTTTGCGTGCGATAACTGAGTTTCTTTAGGTCGGTCGAGCTCAGACTTCATACAGTGCTTTCTTACCAGTAGTGCTTGCTTGGGATTGCTTTTCAGGTCCGAAGGGCGAAGGTCAAGGTCACCGTTACTGTAAATAAAAAATCTGTGTCCGTGCGATGGCTTGAGTGTTTTTAGATTGATCGAGCTCAGACTTCATACAGTGCTTTCTTATCGAAAGTGCTTGTTTGGGATTCAAAGGTCAATGTCGCCGTTACTAATAATAGAACAACTGTCTCCGTGCGATAAGTTCAGTTTCCTTGGGCCGATCAACCTCACAAATTCACACAGACCGTTATTCCATGGTATTGCCGAATCTAATTAGAGTTGCCTGCGCAGGCGACACGTCCACTCCTGTGGAGTTCTTGTTATTATTGAGCTAACACTTGTTGCTATATTGCTTTATACCGTTAACAAAGAATATATCAACTGATCTTGTTGCTATAGTTACTATTCTCGTCAGTCAATCGGAAACCACTCGGGATTTTTTCATCAAGTTTGATTTTTATATTTTGTTCCGAATTTTAACATTCTTGCATAATACTTCTTAGTTCTAATGTTTTAAATATTCTAGGGTGCCACACAATGGTGAACATGGCTTTCCGGTCACGTGACCAGGACACGGAGAATACCCCTTCTAAGGTTCGCTACAAGAATGTTGCGTACATCAACAACGAGAGCGCCATGTTGCGACAGGACAGCAGTATCTCTTTCTGGTACTTCTCCAATATAGACATGGGAGATATGCTATTTCTGCACATGCGCATCCTCCCAGAATTAGCAGCGCCCCCTCAGGCCATTCTTCACAACGGGGGCTGTGAGACCTTCTCCAAACCAACTCTGATGGTAGGAATGGACACAGCAGACACCATTTCTGAAGTCGTGTATATTTTTGGCATAACATTAGATGAAACAGACGAGATGGTTTTTCTAAATGTAACCGCAAAGGTAATTTCGATTTCAACCGGATTATATATATCACCAGTCGGTCGGATGACAATAGAGTCAATCTTAAAAGGAATTATTAAACTGGGTCACCTGTCCGACTATGTTGGTTTTCTCCGGGAACTCAAGTTTCCTCCAATATAAAATTCCTTTGCATACTTCCACTCGAGTCAATAAGATTGATTAATATATATATATATATACTAAATCAGTTGATACTGTGTTTCATAATTGATGTAAAACACTTGAAAATTAAGTTCTATCCATTACAAAAATGTTTCTTTAAAATTCAAACCGTATATCACTGATTTTGGGTTAGTCTGGTTTAGTATTGTTTAGCGTCCTATCGACAGCTATGATCATTTAAGGACGGCCTCTCCTGTGTGCAAGATGCATGCGTGTAGTGTATGCGTGTGTGTTTTGGGAGGCTGCGATATGTTCGTGTTTGTCTCCTTGTGATAGCGCGGAACTGATGCCGAGGTAGTGCTACCTCACTGAAACATACTGCAGAAGACACCCAGCAGGACACCCCACCCGGTCACATTATACTGACAACGGGCTAACCAGTCGTCCGACTCAAAAATTGCTGAGCGTTAAGCAGGAGTAAAAACTACCATTTTTACAGATTCTGGTATGTCTCGGCCAGGGGACAGAACTAAAGGTCAAAAGTTAGGCATTGTCAAGGGAGATATTAGGAAGAAAAAAAGTTGTTTAGAAAGAAGCGAAAAGATAAGGTCCCAAATTTAGTCGCCTCTTACGATCATGCAATTGGGGCAGCAGGTATAATTCTTACGCCCTACTTGCAGGGACCGTATATCAATTATTTAAACTTGTCTAACAGGACATTATGAAGCTTACGGTGTGCCATATTTCATAATTATGTACACCTGCATCTCTAGACGATTCGACAGTTGACCTTTTTTTCTTCTGTGTGAACTTCTGTATGACCATATATCTATGGTATGTTGAGACGTCATCTCACCTTATACTATACAATGCAGCGCAGTTCTGAATACAGCGATGTGCTACTTCGTTTCGACGGCTCAACTTTGGATGTGGAGGTCAACGGAAAGATGGCAGAATCGAAATTCGAAACAAAAGGTACACCAGAAAAATCAACATTTAAATACACGTGAAATGAAACGAAACATCAATGGCAATTATCTACTTCAACAATCATTCTGTATTGGTTTCAAAAGTATTCATTTTAAGGAAAACTTGTGAGCATATTTTAGCATGATTGATATTGGAGAGTAGCATTTACCACAATATTATTATAATTTCAACCACAGAGCATACACTTATCGTGTAATTAACGTAGAAATGACATCAATGGAAATCCAAAGTCCTGTAAAGGTGTTTTCGTATTGTAGGTAGCATAGCCCGTAGTCGCGGCCCCTTACAACTTGGCGGGAAAGCATGCAGCATCGGATACAACGCGTTTTCTGGACTTGTCGATATGGTGAGTAAACGAACGACAGATTGGCACCGGCTTCGATGTCAGTAGATAAATATGAAAGTTAGCATTGACTATAACAGATAAAGCTCCCGACAATGATTACTAAACTGATAGTTATATTTGTCTTGCAGATTGAAGTTACAACCTGTGGCAAAGACTGAACAAAGAGCTCCTGTAGAGCCAAACGTCGGCCACCAGACAACTCGCCGTAAAATACTGTTTATATACGAAGACATCATTATTTCTGTATCTTAAAGTTCAGCATATCCCCTGAACGATGGTATTGTCATCCTTCATTTCAACTCCATTAGCAAGAGAGGCTTTAAGCTCCTATTAACATAGGCAGATAAAGAACTTTATATAATGTGTCATTTCCTAACACTTATTTCGGATGCAAGAAGACTGATAAGTCATGGTGTACTTATTTTATGACGACATCTAACCTTCTTCCTGCTAAAGTAGGCGAACACAAAGGTAATAATGATAAATAATGCAAACCATACTTCTATGAAATTATGGAACGATTTACCAAACAATATCAGTGAGCAGCAACCTGTTAATGAAATGAACATTACTCTTTTTATGCTCAAAATCGTTAGTAGAATTATTTGAGGTCACGGTTTAATCGTTAGTAGAATGTATCTGAGGTCACAGGTCACGGTTTAATCGTTAGTAGAATGTATTTGAGGTCACAGGTCACGGTTTAATCGTTAGTAGAATGTATTTGAGGTCACAGGTCACGGTTTAATCGTTAGTAGAATGTATCTGAGGTCATAGGTCACGGTTTAATCGTTAGTAGAATGTATTTGAGGTCACGGTTTAATCGTTAGTAGAATGTATTTGAGGTCACGGTTTAACCGTTCATGCTATATTTTAACGTATGATTTGTACAGAGTTGATATTGTGAGGGATCTGACGTGTGGATGTTGAAATAAATGTGACAATGCAGTACAATGTTTTTTACTTTTATTCATATTCTGTATTCAAGACAACGATAGATTATTATGATGACATCACTCGGTATTGTAATATTTCTCTCAATGCTCTACTTTGTGGTTCTCCAAACGTTTCTGATGAGGATAACGGAAACATTTTCCACCGTTCAAACCTTCGTTGAAATTAAGATTTAAAGATGAAGACTATATATATTACGTGACATGACAACTGTCAACGTCGTTCGTGATGAAGAAAACGTGCCATCAGCATTTCATCAAAAGCCTTTAACCAAAATCCGAAAGTGTTTAATCCCAAGTAATTTTCTCTCATTTTTGACAACCAATGATAAAATAAACTCAAAACTTTTGGAATTGTTAACTTTCACTTAGTTAGCTTATATCTGCCAAAGTTTGACGATCGACCAAAATTCTCATATGTTATCTTTGAAGAACCGCCACAACTTCACCAATGTGGTAAATTTGTCAGAATAAACGCTATATCCAAAGCGAAGTTTCAGGTCATGCAATGAAGTCGTATAAATAGACAATATCATAATAATAATAATAATTCGAGGTTCTTAAACCGCTTTATCCCAACCTAGTTCGTAGGTCGTATTGAAGTGGTTCACAGATTATTATACTTGGTTATAGGGCCTTTGCAACCAGCCAATATCTTTCTCAACTCCCTTGGCAGCATACAGCCGGTGCTGCCATTTCGGCGCTCACAGCAAGCTTTCTACATTTCTAGAACTGCCCAACCACGTACTCATATACAGCTGAGTATAGAAAGTTGAATTGAGTAGACTGGAACAAGCGGAGTAAAGTATTTTTTCAAAGATACTACACAGTGCCGTGCCGTGACTCGAACCCGGCGTCCTACCACTAGACTACCGTGACTCCTATCATTAACATTCTAATTTGAAAACTGCCAGTGTATTCACGATTTGCCGCCTTGTTTCCGAATATACCAAAAAAAACTAATGGCAATCTGACAAAAATATTCCTTTTTAGATGGGGTAAATATTCGACTTAAGTTACATTTCAAAGTAGTTTCTTATTAAAAATTTAAAAAAAAATAAAGCCTTATTATCATTATTGGTTTCGCGGCCATTCTTTAATACAGTTAAGACGATTAGATAAACTAATAATACTAATAAACCTTATTAAGACGAAAGTCACGCGCAGCTTTATTATATAATCCGACATATCAACCCCAGTCAATGATAACGGTCATTACGCCCTAACGAGAGCACATTTGGGATCACAGATTTGGCCTCCCTGCCGTAGATATGACAACATCTCTCAGGCGGATTATCTGTGTAAGTCTTTTCGCTGTGTAGCAATTAGAATGTCGGTAACTATAATGAGAAGATAAGACTCATCAACAAAGTGTAGCAATACATCGGATAAGTTGATAATAACAAGGGAGTTTAAGCAGCCGACGATGTACAATTACAATCCTCCTTTGGAGCTACATGTAGATATATCTGGAACGCCGTTCATAACATGTACAGTAAGTTTAAATCATGTAAAGTGACGTCAGAAATCAGACACTGGATATTTGGCTTGTGTTGTTGTGTTGACAATCTGTGTATCGAAACAATGTCTGGAGGTATAGTATCTGATAACTGCACAAACTTGACCTCAATTGTAAACATCCCGTCAACCATTTACGTATTTATAGCGTCCAGTTCTCTCATTTGCCTGAGTATTATAATTCTGAACGGATATTTTGCTTGGATAACACTTAAGAAGAGAACCTTTAGGAATGTGTTCGTTGTATATTTGGTGCCAATCAACATGGCTGATTTCTCCGTTGGACTTTTGTCGAGTTGGAGAGGTGTTTCGGAAGTGACGCACAACCATCCTTACGAGTCTTGTTTCGTTCAGACTTTATTAGGCTTCACGTCAGTCGGGACATCCGTGACCATGCTCCTCCTGATCTCGGTGGTACAATATGTGTCCATAGCACATCCGGTCACCCATAGAAAAGTGATGGGGATGAAATTTGCAATTACTTCGTCTTGTTGTGTTCCAGGAATTCTTCTTACGTTCAATACTGTTTTATTTTCTATCTTTTATGACAAGTCAAATGACACTACAACGTGTCGAGATATCAACCTGTTTAAGTTAAACTATGACATCGTTGGAAGTGTTATCTTAGTTTTTCTCTGTGCTGTTCTCATAGGAATAACGGTGTTTAGTGGGTTGTGTATCCATATTCTAAAACTGAAGGCGAAACCTGTCTCTACCATAGAAGGCCGTAGAAACATAGAGGTAAGCAAAACAAGAGTATACACACAACATTCTGCCTGGCGTGAACTGAGGATTCAGAGTCTGGACACGTCCCTCGTTTCGGGTAACCCGACCAAGTCGTCGACAAGTGTAACCCGTGCTGAAGAAAACCCGTTTAAAACTTTCAATCGACTACCACATAACCCAAGCAACAAACGTAACAATACTATCATCTCGCAAAGGAGACAGAGTCGTGATACAATCAATAGTAAGCCATCTTCTTCTCTAAAGAATGACGTCACAAATCAAATTGATAAGGGACATCCTTTTGATAAACTCAACGTCAGTCCTGGAAGATCGCATTCAGTTTCAACATGTGGGTCGAAACCAAACGATGTCAATAGGAAAGAGGCCAACAAAAAGCTTTTATTTCAATCGAAAGTAAAGTTTGGCTCTAATCAACTCAACTCCAGGTGTACAAGGGAAGCAATCCGATCAACCGGAATTAGAAGCAAGAAGATAACTCCGGGACCAATAAAACGATTACGTGAAACATTGAAATTCTACAGAGAGGACGACCGAAGCTCACGACGGACGTCACATCGCAGCCTTGTGAAGACCTATTTGACGTTGACCGCTATGAGCCTCGCCGCTCTGACCTGCTTGTTTCCGTACATCATGCGCATAGCTTGGTACTTGCTTTACAGGGACATACCGGAGGCTCTTATACTGTTCAGCGATTTTGCCATTTCGGCGAATTCGGCTTTGAATCCTATGATTTTTCTGCTCCGTGTTACACAGTACAAAGAACACGTGAGGAAGCTGCCAATGTGTTGTTGCTGTATTCAAGAAAGCGAGTTCGTGGGAGAGATTTGACATAAATATAACAACGACATCTGCCAGGTGGATGGACAGAATCAGTTTGTTGTTTGTGAAATAATTAGATTGTCGGTAACTATAATGACTGTATCCTTACTTGTTTGTGTTTGTATGTAAGAGTGTGTGTATGGGTGGGTGGGAGTAAGGGCGATTATGTATGTGTTAATGTTGTGATGCAACTTATAGTATATGAAATCATTTCATCATACATGAATGGAGGATGATGATGTTGATAATGAATGATGATGATGGATGTTGATGATGATGATGCTGATGATAATGATGATGATGGAGGTAATAGCATCAAAATGTATGTGAGATGATGGTGATGATGATGATGATGATGATGATGATGTTGATGATGTTGATGATGAATGATGATGATGATGAGGATGATGGAGATAATAACATCACTATGTATGTGAGATGATGATGATGATGATGATGATGATGAGGATGATGGAGATAATAACATCACTATGTATGTGAGATGATGATGATGATGATGATGATGATGATGTTGTTGATGATGATGATGATGATGATGATGATGATGATGAAGGTTATAACATCACAATGTATGTGAGATGATGATGATGATGATGATGATGATGATGATGATGATGATGATGACGATTGAGGTAATGGCATCACAATGTTGGTGAGTGAGTGGACGTTTATGTTGTTGTTGTTTTATATATCAATAAAACTTGTGAAAAAATAAAAAAATAAAAAAAAAAATGACTGTATCTAACAGGGGATTTGAAACAGCCTACAATATTAGATTAGATTATTATCCTGCGTGTGGATATACATACGAAGTATACTAACGGAAAGGTGTTAAAATCTCTCAGAGCTCAACATGTATTGTCTGTATATATAGTAACGTAAGAAATCAGACACTAAATATTCTGACATGTGGTGTTGTGTTGACAATCTGTGTATCGAAGCAATGTCTGGAGGTCAACTTATTGATAACAACACAATATCGATCTCTATTGTGGGCATCCCGTCAACCATTTACGTATTTATAGCGTCCAGTTCTATATTGGCCTGAGTATTATAATTCTGAACGGAATTTTGGTTTTAATAATGAATGGTTGTGATTCTCATGTCTGTGTGTCTCGAAAAATTCCGTGCTTTTTTAGTTCTTATTCTAAGTGGCAACTCAAATGATACTATACTTTGTCTAGATATCAACCTGTTTAAGTTTAATTACAACATTCTTTGAATATTTAGCTTAGTGCTTTCATGTGTTGTTCTCTTAGGAATAACAATGTTCAATGGGCTTTGTTTCCGTGTTCTAAAACTAAATATGAATGCTTGAACTATTACAGGTAGCAAAAATACAAAGGTAAGTAAAACAAGAGTATACACACAGAATTCCGTCTATAAGTGATTGTAGATACAGAGCCTGTACACAAATGGTCTCATCAACGCCTTATGAATGAGCCTCGTCGATTGGGCCTGCGCTGTTCCGTTCATCATACAACTAGCCTGGGTTTTGCTCTACGGAGACGTACAAGAGACTCTGTATTCAGCGATTTTGTTATTACTGCGCATTCGGTATTGAATCGAATGATGTTTCTGCTTTGTGTTACACAGTACAAAGAACATGCAAGAAAGCTATGAATTTGTAGATGCTGTAATTAGGGAAGTGAGGCCATATAAACCATAACCTTGACACAATGACATGTAACCAGAGCATACCTATACAAATCTATACAAAGCAACATGACCTTTCTACATTGACTCATAAGATATATACAACGACTTATAACTTCTATACACTAACAACTAACCTCTATTCAATGACACAGATCTTGTATTCAACGACCCGAGACCTTTATTCAATGACACAGATCTTGTTTACAACGACACGAGACTTTTGTTC